TGTAATTTGGGTTCGAGATGAGGAGTTAGGGCTAACTACTTAATCCAGATCGCTTGGAGTGATTTTAAGTCTGATGTAAGTCTCTAAAATTCATTTATATATACTTCCTAAAAGACCATCATATCCACGGTTGACTGTAGTTTCGAGATTGCCTCGCTTTCATCAGCAACTCCAGCAAGCTTCCGTCCCGGGTCGCTAGTATTGTGGCGGCTTTATCACTTCACTTCGTGGTCAAGTAGGCCTATTGGTCAAAGGGTAGATATGATATTCAAGGTAAGCCAGGCCTCTCCCAAATCAGATTGATAGTAGGATTGTGCTTAGATCGTATTAAGTGACCTTTGGTGACTAACTTCATAAGCAAGAAATACTGGTCATCTCGAAACTAAATACTTATAACAAGGTGTGATTTATATGTGGCTACATGCACAATTTTACTACCATTTACAGATCATATAACGTCACTAATCTGATGGAAGATTTGAAATCCCTTTATCGAACTGCTGGTCAGCAGGGCAAGGGGATTACATTCTTATTCACAGATAATGAGATTAAAGATGAATCATTCCTTGAGTTCCTCAATAATATTCTTAGCTCGGGAGAGATAGCAAATCTCTTCGCCCGAGACGAAATGGATGAAATATTGGGTGAATTGGTCAACCCTATGAAACGTGAATTTCCTCGACGTCCGATCACTAATGAAAGCTTACAAGAATATTATATGAGCCGTGTAGTCAAATATCTGCACGTCTGCCTTTGCTTCTCTCCAGTCGGACAAAAGTTCAGGAATCGAAGTCTGAAGTTCCCGTGCCTAATTTCTGGATGTACAATGGATTGGTTTCAGCGGTGGCCAAAGGATGGACTGATTGCTGTGTCAAATTACTTTCTCTCCAGCTTCGACATGGCCTGCACACCACAAACAAAAATTTCAGTAGTAAATACAATGGGTGTATTCCAGGTGAGAAGTCTGCATGGACTGAGATAATTATATCAGCCTTTTAACATATGCATATATAAATATATATATATATATGATATATATGATATATGATATAACAATATATATTAATATATGGTATTTATAGTATTAGTCAACAACTTTGCTGAGAATTTTGGTTAAGATAGGCTAAATTTATATTCTAGACCCAAAGACTTAATTATTCTGGATGAAATTAGATATACATGACAGATATATAATGGCTACATAGAGATAAGTAATTCCTTGCTTACCACTTTTCACAATGAATTATATAGTTTGTTATTGTATAACTGTTGAGAAAACGGGTACCTTTTAACAAGATCTCATAAAGAGCTTAAATAGCACAAGCTGGCTCCCTCGTTTCAGAGAGTCCAACTACTGTAACCATTGATGGAAGTAGCTAAAGCACGTTCGTCGCAGGGCCTTTTGCAGGGAAGGGATCATACCAATGCCTTTTTTAGGATTTAAAGTTGACATTAATTTAAGTAAAAGGTGCTGTAACATATCAGTCACGTTGGCGCAACCCAATTCTGCAATCAACCTAATAACTTCAAACTAACTGGACTGACCTATCGTGACTGCTTCGTAAAAGTCCTGGAGTTGAAACACGTATTTATCCTGGGTTATTGTGTATTTTTTGGTAAATATCAAACAATGCTTAAGTTTACTAAACAGTGAATTGGAATGTTATCTAAATTTTTTTGTTGTTATGTCATTTAATGGGCAGTGTCTAAGACTGTGGAATGAATGTAAATCTAGGTCCTGAGCTAAGTCATTCGTCTACCAAGTATTTACGTTCTAACCGAGAAGTAACGTATATATAATTGTGCCCTTGTTTCGAGGAAGATATAACGAAATAGTTTATCATTGATACGTTAAAATTTGTTATTTTATCTCATCACAACATTTTTCAGTGTCAGACAGTCAAGCAATTCTGCTCAAAACTTTTACCTTTATCGAGTCATTCCGACTATTTGGAAGTGTTTTTAATGATTTATCCCACCCTGAACATCAATTGTTTGCTTGTTATGCTATGACGAATGAAGGTCGAGACGGGGTTTTCCATGAGGGCTGCATTCAAATTGCTAAACACTAATTGGAAAATTATCCTTGTAAACTCCTTTCTAACAGCTGAGACCTACGCAAGACGTGAGAATGCCAAACTATTCACTTCTAAAGAAAAAAAAGTGACTTCAAAATTTGTTTCATTTTTTGTTGTCTTATTCCATTCTCTTTGGGCATGGGTGATATTCAATTAGCCAGTATTTATTAGATTTCTATATGGAATAATATTTGATTATCTATGTCGTAATGATCTACAGGCATCTTTGTTGAATTTTAACTTCAGGATCTTGTGGCTGAGTCCTGCTTGGACTACTTCCAGCGTTTCCGGAGGCAGACTCACGTGACGCCCAAGTCCTATTTGGCTTTCATTGCCGGCTACAAGGAAATATACGCATCAAAGCGCCGTGAAATAGGCCTGCTAGCAGAGCGCATGAATACTGGCTTAAAAAAGTTGGTAGAGGCCACAGAATCCGTGAATGAACTGAGTCTCGACTTGGCCGAGAAGGAGAAAGAGTTGGCTGTTGCCAACAGAAAAGCAGAAGAAGTGTTAGCCCAAGTGACAGTGCAAGCAGCCGCTGCACAACATGTCAAAGAGCAAGTGCAAGTGGTGAAGGATAAAGCCCAAGTCCTAGTTGATGCCATCACTGCAGATAAAATAGTTGCTGAGGGCAAATTAGAGGCGGCTAGACCAGCTCTAGAAGAAGCCCAAGAAGCATTGAATACCATCAAAGCACAGCATATATCGACAGGTAGGCAAGGCAATCGAATCAAATTTACCTCCTAAAATAACTTACTATTAAAATGGATCCATTTATTGAGATTTAGACTTTACTTTCATTATAATCTTGTAGTCCTCATTGATGGCAGCGTAGGCCCATTGAACTCCTAAATAATGTTAAGCATCAACTCATGTGGCTTTAGCCTCAAATAATCTCGACGCTAGGCAATAAAATCCCTAAAATTCTGATAGTTATTGAGTACAAAGGGACAAATATTTCATTTTATATTCCCAAAAGACTGTCAATGGTATCTAAAATAGCTCTAGCTCTAGACATAGCCTAAGAAAACATTGCACAACTATTCACTATTATATAAAATCATTTGTGTTTTTCCTAATAGGTAACGAAGCTGAAAAAAGCTACGCCAATTGTTTGGCAATTTAGGTAACTAGATGACTTTACGAGTCACTGCCTTATATGAAGCTAAATTCTATAATTCAAGCGTTTCCTTCAGGAAATATTGCACTAAATCAAAATTTAATAGGGTTCTATGTTATTAGGTGCATACATTAAATAGTTAGATCGTGTCAGAATTATGTATTTTGGGAAATTCCACTTTGGATAGAGGTGTTCTTTACAATTATATTCATGATAACAATCCATTTAAGTAAATATTTTAATGGCTGCCGTTTATGAGTAACTATCACCACTGCTATTCGGTCACTTGAGTTCACGCTAACTTAATCGATGAATCATCCATCATGATGCTTCCACTTGTTTTATTATGGTTACATGGGCTATATTCATTTTTCCACAGTTTTCATCATTCTATACGATCCTTGTGTTTATGCATCTGGAAGAATAGAAGGGAGTAAGAGATGCCATGAGTGCGGATATATTGATAAAATTGACAAGGGATATGAGAAGGAAAACTGAGAAGTAAAACTCTTAGACTGAGTTCAAAGATTCTCCAAGATATCACTTTAGCCAAAATCCCAACTTTCACTCACCGCAATTGCATGATTAGATACAACAGTAAGAACTTTGTGACATGACTCAATTTTAAAGGAAAGTTGGTTGGAAGGAATTCGGGATATGGTCTCACCAGAAACCAAAGGAGGATTTTCGCGTGAGGAAAACCGTTGAATTGTGCTAAAAAGTTCTCGGCTCATCGTCTGTACTGTGACAGACATCATCAGAGCAAGATTCCACACCTTACGAAATAAAGCAAAAATATACTAAACCAAGGGAAGAAGGCTCCGTATATTTTTGCTCTATTTCGTAAAGTATGGAATCTTGCTCTGATAATATCCATCACCGTACAGACGAAAGCTTAGCACAGCTACATTGGGGTCACAGGACGGTGATCCGAGGGCTTCTTAGCACAATTTGACGGTCTTTCTTACGCGACAATCCTCCTTCGGTTTCCGGTGAGACCACATCACGAATTCCTTCTAACCAACTTTCCCTTCGAAATGGAGAGTCAGGCCACAATATTTTATTAAGGAATTCTTCGAAACCCAGTTTTGCTTTATATATTCGAAGTAAGAACTCTATTATATTCTGGAATAAATGATAAACAAAAGTAGCAAAATGTAAACACTCATAATGAACTTACATGCTTCGCTTCAGCAGCAAAATTGATTAAAACTTTTAAAGGTTCTGATAATTTTATTATGACAAAACTGTATTTAGACTTTAATTTGCTATAGGAATCTTGTTAAACTCGTAGGCAGACCTTAAATCTATTATGTATCCTTACTTTTTACTGTAATGTCTTTTCATACAAAATTGCATCAGCTTCTGTAGGAGCCTATGAGATGAAATACCAGATGAATGAATAAATCATTATAACTTTTTAAAAACGAATACTAAGTTGAGTAATGTGAATCACATTCAAAGGTTAGGCCCAAAATATGTGAGAAAATTTGACCAGTCTGAGACAATTTTGTTATCTCTAATGAAATATGAATCTAGGGCTCCGGGAAAGCCCTTTGTATGTATAACCAATAGCCAAATAAAATGAAAAAGACTAGCTGTTCTAAATAACATTTACTTAAGTCTTTCGATTAAGAATACTCGCGGTTCAATACATTAAAATCTATAACATTTTAATAGAACTTTTATTTTCTAAAACATTCTCATAATACTTTATGCAAATTAAGATAAATACTAGTTGATTTATCAGTTTTTGCACTTTTGTTTCTTCCTTTGGGATAAAAAAATAAACCTTATCCCTAACCCTAAGCCGACGAGTATGTGTTTTAACTTTTTCTCCTACATTTATTTCAGTGCGCAAACTCGGCCGTCCACCTCATTTGATCATGCGCATCATGGACTGTGTTTTGCTGCTCTTTCAAAAGCGCATTGATATGGTCACCATGGACCCGGAAAAGCCTTGTCCAAAGCCCAGCTGGGCGGAGGCACTGAAGTTGATGGGTGCTGGCAACTTTCTGAATGGTCTCCTCAATTTCCCTAAGGGAAGAGTTGTTTTATCTTAAAAACATTGTTGTCAAAATTCCTCTTTTATATTGATGATATTTGGATTAGTTATAAAGTAACGATTTTATCAATAATTATATGTCACGATCGCTAGGCTAAAATTTTATTATTAAATAATAGTTATAGTCACCCCGTTAGATGAATTTACCCTAAACGAAGAGAGTGGGCCTCATGACACCAATGAATTTCACTAGTCCTTACCTGAAAATCGTATTTTTATACTGATTAGATTAGAATTTCCTTAGTTAACTTTAATCCTGTCCTGTAGCATATTAGTATAGGGGGAACATGTTCAAAAGCTGGGCTGTACCATCCAAGTTCGATTGCCTCTGGAGATATTGATGAGATCCAGGAAAGACTGAAATTGAAGCTCATGTTCAATGAGAGCACTTTTTAGGAAATAAGGCTGCGTGAAATGCAAAGAATCATGAAATCTATTCATATCAATGTCGAAGAATTCAACTACCAGTCCTTCATCATATTTTGTGCGAATTTGGGCTGTTATAATTCAAGATCATATCATAAGGATAGTTATTCTTAACAGTTATATCAATAAAAATTGTGACATGGCTATTTGTAAGGGTCACCCTAAAGCTATATTGATCAAGGAAAGTCGCCACTTTTTAAAAACATCTACTATCATTAAGTCTACGGCTTCACTACAACTTTTTTGTTGCCTAAGTAGAAACAGGAAACTAGACGCTAGCTCACCTCATATTGGAATTGTTGGTCAAATAAAATGTATACTATTCATGCAAATGGCTAATGTAAGGCATTCCGTATTAATCGACATTGGGGTAAAAAACTAAACCCTTGTTTACCACTGACAAAGTCATTTATTTACGCTAGTCATATGTGCCTAAAACACATATCTTTTCGTTGGCAATAAAAAGTTGATTTTAGTACATATAATTCAGAACTTTTTCATTAACGACGTGTAATTTTGTATTGTTATGCTCACCTTTGTTCAATGATTGCCTAAAAATACTCTTTCCTTTTACAAAACAAAACCTTCATAATAAGCACTATTTGTCGTTCAGGAAACCTTCCGCTTACTCCCCCTTGTGACTTCAATATATCTGCAAAAGCCTAATATTAGACTGTTGAATTTTCGTCTTTTTAATTCTTGAGTTTAAAATCGACTACCATTATAACATATTATTTGAGGATTTGATATAATTTTTATAGATTTCCAGTTGAAATATAATCTTAATTTTCAAGTATGGCATTTAATTCAATTCTTAAATAAATGACGATGAAAATTCTTCATTAGGAATCCTTGTAGTCGCTCCCTAATTGCATTTATCACATCCACGTTATAGGATTCCATAAACGAGGAAACGGTGGAACTAATGGAGCCATACTTTGAGATGGATGATTTTAATCTAGAGCAAGCGAAACGTGTTTGCGGAGACGTGGCCGGACTCTGTTCATGGACTCGAGCTATGGCCGTGTTTTATAGCATAAACAAGGAAGTATTACCTCTCAAAGTGAGTCGAATTATGCTCAACATGATCTGTTTCTTCAGATAATATTCAAGAATTACTGAGAGTCACGAAACATACTCATTCAGAATATTCTAATCCAGATTGTATTTTGAATTTGTTCAATCAAATTAATTTTGGCCTGGGCATTTTGCATCTTAAATATTCTTCATCGTGTCTATGTTAACAGATCTGAATAAATAGGCTCCATTTGGCGAAGGTAATGTGAGAAAGACTTGTCTAACCATACATAAAGGCTATCACAACACAGAAACGCCTGCAAAGGTTCATGGATACAGAAATCGGAAGTGGCTGAACATCAAATGGAGTGGTCTAAATCCCGACATTTTACCGGATGCGGGAATTTCTAAGCTAAGCGGAAGATAAGGGAGTCGATTAAAATTGACAAAACAAATAATATCCTGAATATGAGGAATTAATGTATAAAACTAAGTAAGAACTATATCTGGCTGTGAAATAGAATGCGAGAGAGAAAGAAGTAAAGAGAGAATGAAGAGCCAATGAGTAAGAGGAGAAGACCTGACTAAGTTGGAGCCTGTTTTTGAACCTAAAATTGCCAACCAACTCGTGAGTGTTGCATACAAACCCGAGCACGCATCATCGAGGCTATAACAAGCTCCAAGATTAAAGGA